TATTAAAAATATATTGTTGAAGTATAAATATGTCTTTTTATTTAATAATAAAAATCGTGGGAGTTTCAAATGTAAAATAAATTTAAGTAATTTTTAAAAAGTAATGTTTCTTAAAACATGTAAAAAACATTATTTCAATGTTAAAATTAAAATTTTTTTAATAAATAAAAAGTTACATAACTATTTTAATGTTTTAAAAAATGCTTTCTAAACTTTTTAAAAACATTTTTATGAATTTGTTTGCTATTTCATTTTATGTTAAATGGTTAAAGGTTAAAATGTTTTTTCAGTGTATAAATTTAACTATAGATTTATATTTAAACAGGTAATGAAAAGTTACTTAAGTGGTCCCCAGCATCAATACAAAAAGCAGGATTATGTTCAGACCACTTTAATAAAGAAGATTTTATAAGCTATACAAAATTACATATTAGAAAGAACCCCATACCGTGGACCTCAAAGGAGACTGACATTACACATTTTGTGAAAGATAATGCTGAAAAAATTACAGAAGAAGGCAGAATTAATGAAAATATTATACAAGAAAATGTAAACCATTCGGATAATCAAGACTACATTCCAATGGAAGTCGAAACGCATGGCGATTTTCAAGTAAACGTTGAAGAAATAAACAATAACAATACAAATGAAGAAGTAGCTAAAAAAAAAATAACGACACGTAAGAGATGTTACCCTTCCGGAAAAGAACTTTTCTACAATTTCGGAAATGACTTCGCAGACGATGAGTGGTTTAATAATGAAAATCCACTTCCACTATTTTTGGATAATTACTCGCAGAAAGAAGTGAAAGCGAACATGATAAAAAGGCGAGTAAAAACGCAAAAAAAGTCTGCTTCTGAAAAAGTGTATAATAAAGATGAATTCTCCGAAATTGAAAAGTTAAAAAAAGAAAATTTGAGACTGAAAAAATTTCTTATGGAGAGGAAAAGAAAACAAAAAAGTATGACTTATATGTTGAAACAGCGCAATATTGCAATTCAGAAAAACAAGAACGTTTGCAAACACAGTCTAAATGAATTTTTAAATGGAAAGAAATGTTTAAAACCACTTGCGAGAACTATGATAAAACTTCAGTTTCATAAGAGACGAAAAAAATATACAAAAGAAGAAAAAGATTTAGCAAAACAAATGTTTTATTATTCCGCAAGTGGATATTCACGGATGAGAAAGGCTGGACTAAATCTCCCATCAGAATCTTCTGTCAAGAATTGGATATCAGAAACAGAAATTCGACCAGGATTTTGCGAAGAAATATTTTATAAAATTCGAGAAAATTTGTCTAAATTACCACCTTCTCAAAGAGTTGGCTGTTTAAAATTCGATGAGATGTCAATTAAAAAATTTGAAGAGTACAGTCGAAAATATGATATCATCGAAGGATTAGTAGATCTCGGACCCCTGGGACGACGCGATGAACGAGCGGGACATATTCTACTATTTTGCCTTGATAGCATTAATGCGGAGAATCCTTGGCGGCAAATAGTAGCATACTTTTTGACTGGAAAAAGTACAACACATAAGGAGATTATTGAACTCACGGAGATGTGTTTACAAAAATTGAAAGATGTAGGAGCAAATGTGCAGATAATTACATGTGACCAAGGTGGACCAAATAGAAAAGCTTTTAATATTTGGAAAATTTCTCCACATGAAAATTTCTCCACGTCTTTTCAATTGAACAATGAAACTTATTTTGCTTCTTTTGATTGGCCTCATCTTATCAAGCGATTGATTAGTCAGTTGAGATCTCATAAGTACATTTATGTGAATGGCGAAATTATTATGTCTTTTCATGATTTATTTGCAACATGGCAAATTGACAGACAATTAAATACTTCAAATTTATTGAATCACATTACCTACGCGCATTTTTATCCAAACAATTTTGAAGTTATGAATGTGAAAAGAGCATTTCAAATGTTAAGTGCAAGATTTGCTGCAGCAATAGCAACAGCAGGGCAAAGCAATACATTAAAAATTTCTTCATGGAAAGCATCTGCAGAATTTGTTTACAAAATGAATAAAGTAATAGATGCTATGAATGTCTATCATTTAAATAATTGGAAAGGAGAAAAGGGTCCATTTTCAGATGATAATTTAATGGTTGAAGAATTATTAACGTCTTTTGTTGAATGGTGTTCAAAGTGGAGTACTTCTCCCAACAAGATTTCGAGACCTCCCTGCTTTGATGGAATGATTACGACCGTGAAATCAATTTTATCAATGTATCGTTCCATTAAACAACATTATCCGGATTTCAGGCTTGCTACTGCACTATGCAACCAAGATTCTGTAGAACATACATTTGGAAAAATTAGAGGACGCGGAGGATTTAACCGTAATCCAACTGCTAGAATGGTACGGTTAACGTTGCGGCATATTTTATCAAGTGGATATATTTATGGAAGCGACAGAGGAAATGTAACTTGTCAAGAAACGTCTTCATTAACGGATGATACATCGGTAGTTCGTGAAATGGAAAATAACAATATTCCATTACAAGAAGAATTAACTTGTTTAACTGAAATGGATGACGACTGTGATAATCTCATCGCGACAGCCTTTGAAGAAATTACAAAATATTCGGAACACAATTCCGACTATCTAGATGAAATAACAAAGACCAACAAGGAGAACTTACATTCAGAGGCATATGAAAGAAATGCAATTTCATATTTCGCAGGAAACATTATATTGCTCGCTACGGTTACAAGAATACAAAGTGCCACAGCTGCCGTGAAAAAAATTTGAAAACACCGAAGAATTAAACGACAATGAAATCTATATTCAGCTACGTAAATATGAACATGAAGACGAAGATGATCCTGAAATAGAGTGGCTATCAAGACCAACGGATTCATTTTTGAATATTATTACTCTACAACTTGAAGCAATAAATTCATGTTACAAGAAGTATTGGTATTTCAAAGATGTGAAGAAAAAGCTTCTTGAAATTTGTGTTAAATACGTCCAGCATACTGATGAAGATTGGTTTAATCAGATCAACGAGTGTTATTCACATAGAATTCAAATGTTAGACTTTATATTAAGAGTCAAGATATATGCAATTACAAAAAAGAATAACAATGGAGGAAGAGAAGGAATAAATACAGTATCTAGAAGATCAAAAGAAATAAAGACAAAATGTCAAAAACTAAAGAACATAAAACATATGTAAAAAAAAAATCACCATTACTACGTATATAAAACGATCGCGGCTCTTCGAGCGGTACGATCTGACTATTTTTCATTTACTCGCGACATTTAATGCGGAACGAGTAAAACGATCGCGGCTCTTCGAGCGGTACGATCTGACTATTTTACATTTACTCGCGGCATTTAATGCGGAACGAGTAAAACGATCGCGGCTCTTCGAGCGGTACGATCTGACTATTTTATATTTACTCGCGGCATTTTATGCGGAACGAGTAAAACGATCGCAGCTCTTCGAGCGGTACGATCTGACTATTTTACATTTACTCGCGGCATTTTATGCGGAACGAGTATAAAATATGTAAAAATTCGTGGCCTTATGGCAGATCGAATAAATTGGGAGACAGTTAACTCGGAATTTTTTAGAATTAAAACATAATTTTTTACTTTTTTTATATATTAATTTTAAATGCAAGATATTAACATTTTTATATTTTTTATTAGCAAATATTATGTTTATATTTTTAAGAATTTCGGGTTATGTGTCAATTGACCTCCACGTGGCGTCTCCTGGAAATGCTCTCTGAGTAGCTAACAATTGACACCAAGATTATTGTGTATAAAATTACATATAAATATATACAGGGTAATTCGAAACAAACGTTTGTTGTCTTTAAAATATCAAATTCATGAATGATTTCTAAGACGATTTTTCCTATTGCAAAATTTTGCCCGAAGCTTAATTTTTAAACTATAAAGGAAAATAGTTCGAATTAATAATGGAATGAGTACGAAAAGTAGGCAGGGACGGCGCGATATAAGTGATTACATCCCAATGAGAAATGTTGGTCGAATCTACATCAATTCATGAGTGTAGCAATCAGCTGATCGCGGCGAGCGCCCCACGAAATCGTTTATATCGCGATGTCCCTACCTACTTCTCGTACTCGTTCCGTAATTAGTTAACTATTTTTCTTCATAAAACATTTAAAAACTAAACTGTGGGCAAAATTTTTCAAGAGGAAAAATCATTTTAGAATTCATTCAAGAATTTAATATTTTAAAGATAAACGTTTGTTCAGAATCACTCTATATAACTTTATATTATTATTTTATTTTAATATGTATTGTACAATGTTATTTTTACAAATATGAAAATGTGATTTTAGAAAGTAAGCAATATGTCTTACATGTTCATATATAAAACATATTTAAATAAAATAATAGTATGAAGATTTTAAAGTGCAATAAAATAATGAAATAAAATAACTAAAATAATCAGTGTTTTCTAACTATACTACAAATTAGACTACAAAATAAAATTAGACTTTTATTAAATTTTAATAAATTTATTAAATTATAATACTATTTTTATACATCTTTACTTTAATAGAAAAAAATAAAAAAATTTATAGAAAATTTAAAAAAAGAATTAAAAAAAAATAAATATTATATTATTATTAAAAAAATTAAAAATTATAATTAAAAATTATATTTCCGCGGCCTCTTCCTCTTCCTCTTCCTCCTCCTCCTCTTCTGGAGGAAATCTGCTTCCTCTTCTGAAACCTCTTCCTCCTCTGCTCTGCATTCTTCCTCTCTCTCTGCGAGCAGATCATTTATATCTATAAAACATAAGAGAGAAATATATTATAGCTTGATAAATAGAGAGATATAATTATTTTATATATTTAAACACACACACACATGCGCGCGCGCTCTCTCTCACACATCACACGCGCGCGCGCGCGCGCACATGCACGCACGCACGCGTAAAATAACAAATACATTCTCATAAATTGATATATATACATATATAAATCCGAAATTTAATAACTATACTTTTCATCACGTTCGGCGCGCCTTACACCAGCCCGACGCTGCATGTGAGATGATGAATCCTGCTGCTGTTCCCCTGCATCATCCTCGTGCTGTTTTTCTCCTTTTTTGTTCTGCTGTTTTTCATCATCATTATTCATATCATCAGCAGAAAAAAAGCTGAAAAAATAAATATAATAAATATATTTTTGTGTGCATGTGTAACTTTAATGTACAAATAATATTTTAAATATATAGGGTAGACCATTTTCATCAATGATAAGAATCAATTAGTGTTCAGAAAAAATATAGTTGTTTTTAAGAAAAAATATAATATTTACTGTTAATTGCAAATTACATATTTTTTCTTCGAAACAACTATGTGTTTTCTTTACACCAATTGATTCCTTTCATTATTTTGTATATAAAAGTATTAAGATTAGATAATCGAAAAATGAATATTTTATTAGATATTTTATGGTTTATGTAAAATTAAGAAATGATTTCAAGCCTCATAACTCGAAAAGAACTCAATGAAGAAATACTTTATTATAGTGTTTTGAAAAGTTCTCGAGATAAGCTATAAGAATAAGTAATAAAAAATAGTAGGTTCCGTTTAAAAAATTAAAGATGACCATAATGTGACCTTCAAACAATTATTCATGGTCAAATATTTGCCACTATTTTATGTCCTCCTTCGAGTCAAATACTTTTATCTGAAATATTTTTTTTTTAAACTTCTCCTTTTCGAGATATTCGCGTGTATTGATTAAAATGGTCTACTCTGTATATATATATATATATATATATATATATATATATATATATATATTAGGGTGGGTCAAAAAAATTGATTATTTTTTTTTTTTACAAGTGGCACGGAAAAATGGGTTGTTAGACGCCTTAAAAAAATTCTCACCAAATATGAGCTCTTAATTTTAATAGGAAGGTCCTCCGCATCGCAGTTTTTTATTTTTTTCTCAGTCTAATAGAAAAAAATTCATACCTCATCATTAATTGATTGTACAGAAAAATGTTTTAGAAAAATTTTGTAGGAAATTTAATGTTCTACAAAAAAGGTATCTTATGTTTTTTGCGCAAACCTCACCATTCGAAAGATATTGAAGATTTAAGTTTGATTATTTTAAGACAAATTTCATTTTTGTTTATGAATTTTATAACTCGACAACAAATGACTATTGTAAAATGCGCAATACAAATTTTTGTAGGAAATTAACTGCTCTACAAAAATGGTCTCATATGTTTTGGCGATTAAATCAAGCGTTCAAAAGATATTCATCATCAAACTTTCATGTGTACTGATCTTAAGAGTTTTTGACTAGATAATCGAAAAATTTCAATTTAATTTATAAGTTTTGAGAAAATTTACACGAATTTTAGTTTTTATCAATTGAGAAACTTCAAAATGTTTTTCAAGTTTTTTTTATGTGTAAGTATCTTTGTCTACATTAAAAAAAATAAATTGTACATTATTTATCGCTTAGTTAATTATTTATTAATAAAAAAAGCAAAGTTTTCATTATAAATATATTATGATATGTTTCAGTATTAGAGAAAAATATATCCAATTATTTATAAAAAAGTTTTTTATTTTAATTTTCAACTGAGTTATTAATTTTCGAACAATTTTTTGTTGCAAGTAGGGTAATTTTTTCGATGCTCTTTGACAACTTGCAATAAAAATTGAAATTGCTCTTCGTTTTTTGTTAAGCATTGGTTATATTCACTTACTAATGCGACACCTCGCTCTGCCACATCATTAACAACTTTTAATTGTTCGAAAAATTCTTTATTTTCATTATAACTCTCATCAGTAGACCATAAATCAATATTTTTGTCAAGAAAATCATACGGCAGATCAAAAAGCTCAAAAAGTTTCAATGACTTCTTAGAAACAAAGTCACTTATGTCTTTTTGCAGAATTGAATCCAAATTTTTTTTATCAATCATAAATCTTCTTGCTTTAGAATCTGTACCTTCGCGAGTCTTAACAGCTTCGACAATATTTTTCTTTATGTTTAATGGAACGGTATCATCAAATAGTGATAAAATGGCAAGTTCATCACTTAAGTACCATAGATGTAAAGTCATTTTTTCACATGTAGCCGAAGAAATCAAAGGATTAATTTGCCTGTACTTAATTAAATTTTTCATGAACTTTAAGTCGTGATTAGCAGCAGAAGTCGCAGAAGTTGATGAAAACCAAGCTCTTACATACACCATAACTATAAAAATACAAAGTTGTCGAAGACCATTCAATTCTATCTTAGAAAGGACAAATCCATCTCTAAAAATAAATATTTTTAGGCAATAAATTGCCTTTGCCATCCATCTTGCGTGATGAATTGCACCAGGACGTTTAAAGGAAACTTGGTCTTGAGGCATTTCTCCAAGAAAAATTAATGACAATTCCAATAATTCTTTATAGTCATCTCGGGGTTGCGATAACTACCAAAAATAATCAATTATTTGTAAAAAATCGAAAATTTTTCTTTACACTTAAAATTATATTCAAATTATACCTGTAAGTATCGCGTAATAAATGTAGATAGATGATTTTTTTTATCCGTAACAATATTAGCAACAATAGTATCATCAACACCAGATTTATACTTCGTTCTATCTACTGTGTCCCAAAATTTTTTGAATCTCTCAAATATTCGAATATTTGGTCCGGATGATACTGGCCAATACACTTCGAATGCACTCCTTAAAATGATCTCATAAATATGATGGCGACATGGTAACCAAATCAATTCTTTTCCTAAGGCCTTTTCAATTTCTTTACATGTACCGTGATGGATTCCTGTATAGTAAGAATAGATAATTACACTTTAAGTTATGTATTTAAGAAAAATTGTAACGCATATTTAAAATCTAAATAAATAAAGAATTATAAATAATAGGCACGTGTTGAAAATTTAATTTGTGTGTGAAAACAATTCAACCAGAAGGATCAAAATGAAATTTTATTTCAAATATTTCATCATCATAGATTAGTTACCCGTATTAACCGCAGTCGTGTCAAAACACATCGCCTTAATGTAACGAATAATACCCCATTGATTTAACGTCGATAAGATGGCTGCTGCTTGATTTTCTGCCGTTCCACTATTCATTTTTGGAACTCCAAGTAACTGCTCAGTACCAAAAGCAGTCAAAAGAATCGGTAACCGATCCACAAATTTCGATTCAGCAATGTCATTCAGTATTTTGCCATCCCAATGCACGACGTATTTATCATGAGCTTTGAAGTTATCTTTTAGCCCTATAGCAATGTCTTTTTGTAAGAGCATGCGAGTTCGTTGAATTGTTCTGTAACTAAGAGTTGTATCTTCTATATTAACACCAACACTTGATAGAACTGGAGCAATAATAAACATCGCATGTCTACTACTGACATTAGCTCTGTCGAGTGCCGAGATAAGCTCTGGAGTTAAAATATTTATTTTTGCTCGCGTTGTCGGTATTTGAGGCACATACTCTAAATCTGAACCGAAATTTGTAGCTTGACTTAATGTAAGCGTTGAGGATGACTCTGATTTTTCACTTGGAACAATCTCATGGCTAGTTGAGGGTTGATTCAAATCTAAAATGAGCGATATTATTAAATTAATGGAAGAAAAAATTTGAAATGCATTCATTTTGATATCAGGTAAGGAACATGAAGAGTTTTTTATTTATCATCTATTAACATATTGACATTTATGATATAATTAATTAGAAAAACAATAATATACTTTATTATTTATAATTTAAAATAAATTGAATTTATTTCCAATTATTACTAAAATTTATGATAGTTAAATGTTGTAAATACTTACGACTTTCGTCTACTTCCATCATATTCATAGTTCTGTTTGTTTTATTTGGGTTATTAGAAAGAATTTCTTTCCGGGTATCACTTTTTTGATTTGAATATAACTCTTGAATATTATTATCGAGCAGTTTTAATGACTTATAATCTACAATATTAAATAATGCTTTAATTTCATTCTGAAATCTCATTTCATTTTTGTTTTGTGCTGATGATTTTTTTCGCACAAAAGATTTTTGCAATTTCATCCATCGATTATGATAGCGAAGAATTTTTTTTATGACATTAGTCGATTCACTAGTAGGAATCTGGTTGTTTTTCCATAGTTCAATAACTTGACAGGCTGCATTTTTAGAACTTTGTTTGATGGAACATTTTAACACTTTGAGCTGATAGAAAAAAACACTCATAACCTCTTTGACTGTTGGCAACTTGCGTTCTGAAATTTTTTGCAAAGGTTTTCCGATCAAATGAATTTCTTTATCCATATTTTCGATAAATATCATATAAATTCATGTAGTAACCGCAAAATTTGTAAATAATTAACCGTTTTATCACATATACGAGATCATAAGTTGTGGAAACACTAAAAATGCTGTAGAAAATGTATACAAATAAAAGACAACATAACGATAAAGAAAAATGTAGGTGGCGCTAGTTCACAAGGGAAAAGAAGAAATACAATACAAAACAAAAATTCTCTAGAGAGGAAAATTTCCCTAGGACAATATCTAGCTATAGTGGAAAAATTTTTAAAGACATTTTGAATACGTTATCGAAAAAAAACAACATGATCGTGATTTCTAATGATTAAAATAAAATGTTTAGAATTATTGATAAAAAATTTTCAAAAATTTTGAAAATAAAACTCAAATAATACTTATATTAATGACAAAAAATGAAATTTATATGAAATTCATAAATTAAATTGAAATTTTTCGACTATCTAATCAAAAACTCCTAAGATCAGTACACATGAAAGTTTGATGATGAATATCTTTTGAACGCTTAATTTAATCGCCAAAACATATGAGACCATTTTTGTAGAGTAGTTAATTTCCTACAAAAATTTGTATTGCGCATTTTACAATAGTCATTTGTTGTCGAGTTATAAAATTCATAAACAAAAATGAAATTTGTCTTAAAATAATCAAACTTAAATCTTCAATATCTTTCGAATGGTGAGGTTTGCGGAAAAAACATAAGATACCTTTTTTGTAGAACATTAAATTTCCTACAAAATTTTTTTAAAACATTTTTCTGTACAATCAATTAATGATGAGGTATGAATTTTTTTCTATTGGACTGAGAAAAAAATAAAAAACTGCGATGCGGAGGACCTTCCTATTAAAATTAAGAGCTCATATTTGGTGAGAATTTTTTTAAGGCGTCTAACAACCCATTTTTCCGTGCCACTTGTAAAAAAAAAAATAATCAATTTTTTTGACCCACCCTAATATATATATATATATATATATATATATATATATACAGGGTCTACCAAAAGTGTGGAAACCCCTATCTCGGAAATATCTCGGAAAATATACGTTTTACAGAAAAGTGTTTCCAACAAAAGTTGTAGGGTTTAAGAAGATCTATATACTGATTCTATCAGTTTGACCTTGGATGGCGTCGTCAAGGTCAGGTCAAGGTCACATTGACTTTTTTAAATGACACCCCCTACATTTGATTGCATATTCTTATAGCTTAATTCAAGAACTTTCCAAAACACTATAATAATGTTCATTTTTATTAAGTACTTTGCGAGTTATGAGGGTTGAAATAATTTCTTAATTTTACATAAACCATAAAATATCTAGTAAACCATTCATTTTTCGATTATCTTACCTTCATACTTTTATGTACAAAATAATGAAAGGAATCAATTGGTGTAAAGAAAACATACAGTTGTTTTTAAGAAAAAATATGGAATTGTTAATTGCAAATTACATATTTTTTCTTAGAAACAACTATGTGTTTTCTTTACACCAATTGATTCCTCTCATTAATTTGTACATAAAAGTATGAAGGTAAGATAATCGAAAAATGAATGGTTTACTAGATATTTTATGGTTTATGTAAAATTAAGAAATTATTTCAACCCTCATAACTCGCAAAGTACTTAATAAAAATGAACATTATTATAGTGTTTTGGAAAGCTCTTGAATTAAGCTATAAGAATATGCAATCAAATGTAGGGGGTGTCATTTAAAAAAGTCAATGTGACCTTGACCTGACCTTGACGACGCCATCCAAGGTCAAACTGATAGAATCAGTATATAGATCTTCTTAAACCCTACAACTTTTGTTGGAAACACTTTTCTGTAAAACGTATATTTTCCGAGATATTTAGGGGTTTCCACACTTTTGGTAGACCCTGTATATATATATATATATATAGTTTACGCGGGAGTTATGTGAGCAAACGAGAAGATAATAAGAGGGAGCGGGAGAAATGGCAGTAAGAGCGAGCGAGATAGGAATAGAACGAGCAATGAAGACTCGAAAATCGAGTCTTTCTTGCAGCCTGGCGTACTATTTCTCTCTCGCTCGCTCCTATTACTATCTCGCTCGCTTCTGTTATTATTTCATCTGTTATTATTTCTTACGTACTCATACACTGTCATGTTCATCTCGTTATCAAGTCTGCCGCTGGCAAGCGGCCGATGACAAACTAATGAAAATTTTGCGATTAAAATAACATCAAACACGGTATCAATCGGACAAATGTAGTTAAATATATATAATCAAACTTTTTATTATCAGACTAATTAAAAATTATCCTATTTACGTCATGTTTGATATCATTTTAATCACAAAAATCTCAATAATTCATTAAAATTACTTTCATATCGATCAAATAAAAAATAAAAGTTTCAGTTTTTATTTTATTTTCAGTTTGATGTTATTTTAATCGCAAAATTTTTATTAAAATTTTTATTAAAATTTTGCGATTAAAACATCAAACACAATATCAATCGGATAAATGTAGTTAAATATATAATCAAAATTTTTATTATCAGACCAATTAAAAATTATCCAATTTACATCGTGTTTGATATCATTTTAATCGCAAGAATCTCAATAATTCATTAAAATTACTTTCAAATGGATAAAATACAAAATAAGAGTTTCAGTTTTTATTTTATAAGATGTTTATATTTGCGAGGAAGCCGAGTCCGCTTATCTTTACGACCTATCAAGTGCGAGAGCGACAGTGAGTCGAGAACGAGCGAGATGACCTATCATCAAAGAATTCCGAAGTCTCTTACAATCGGCTTCTTCACTTTCTCTATCCATTCGCAATTTACGAGATATAAAATAAAAACTGAAACTTTTATTTTTTATTTTATCGATATGAAAGTAATTTTAATGAATTATTAAGATTTTTGTGATTAAAATGATATCAAACACGACGTAAATCGGATAAGTTTTAATTAGTCTGATAATAAAAAGTTTGATTATATATATTTAATTACATTTGTCCGATTGATGTTATTTTAATCGCAAAATTTTCATTAGTTTGTCATCGGCCGCTTGCCAGCGGCAGACTTGATAACGAGATGAACATGACAGTATATGAGTACGTAAGAAATAATAACAGATGAAATAATAACAGAAGCGAGCGAGATAGTAATAGGAGCAAGCGAGATAGTAATAGGAGCGAGCGAGAGAGAAATAGTACGCCAGGCTACAAGAAAGACTCGATTTTCGAGTCTTCATTGCTCGTTCTATTCCTATCTCGCTCGCTCTTACTGCCATTTCGCTCCCTCTTATTATCTTCTCGTTTGCTCACATAACTCCCGCGTACACTATATATATATATATATATATATATATATATATATATATATATATACAGGGTGATTCAAAATAACCCCTGTGTCCGTGAAATGACACATTGTTGAGTCAATTCTAAGACGATTTTTCATTTTGCAAAATTTCGTCCGAAGCTTAGTTTTCGAATTATTAAAGAAAGAAGTTAACGCATGACGGGTCGGATACAAGAGATAGGCAAGGGTGACGCGAGACCCGTCAGACGCGGGCGCTTACGCGGGGCGCCTGCTGCGATCAGCTGGTATACACACAACACACATGCGACACATACATTCTCTCTCTGTCTGCTGTCTGTCTGTCTGTCTGTCTGTCTCTCTCTCTCTCTCTCTCTTTCATTCGCTCACTCTCTCTCACATTTTTTTTTTTTTTTTTTTTTTTTTTACGAGAGGGGAAAATGCATTTTATGCATACTCACCGGTCGATCCAGTGAGTTATGTGGGACTCGAGTACCAAGTCGAATTACCAACTCGGTACTCCCTATCCACTAAAAACCCTTCTCTTTTCGCGAATTTTCTTTGACACACTGTCCCTCTGTCCTTCCCGAGATCCGTTTTCACATAACGTTAAAAAATAGTTATTATTACCTTGTTCGATGACTTCTGATGTATTGCTGTAATTGCTTGAAGGAGAAATGAATTTTCCGATAGATCGTACGTTCTCAAATTTAACGTAGATATCACGTTGCACAAGACAGAAATCCACACTAAATTATTAACTGAAAGTTTTTCT